GGGGTGTGTAACATAAACAAAACACCATTGGCTATTTTTTTTTTTAAAGATGAGCCGCTTGATATGTCCCACCTCAATCCTGTTTCAGTGGAAATTACGTCAACACATTCAATTACTCTGTGCATTTTAAAACACTTCTGTGGGACTTTAAGAACCCATATTGCTAGATAACCAGTAAAGACCAAGCCCATTGCGCCTTACCAACCTGCTGGCTAAAGCAAACTTTACACACCCTTAAAGTGCTCTTCTAGTTTCAGATGGATGCTAGTGTGAATTATTCTCACATCTGACAGCATGTTCATTGAAAGATGCTAGAACTCTTCGCAAAAGAGAGAAGTCTCACTCTCCCAGTCTCACTCACAATTTTGGCTTGGGACAGTGTATAAAACAGCTGCTGTCTTTGAAATGGTTCTCTCTATCATACTTTTACATGTGCACGCTCTCCCTCTCATACACACAGATGTTCGCCCTGACATCATATCCAGCACTCTTAACACCTGCTCAACCATAATCACTACCATGTTACCACAACTCAAAAATCTCTCACAGCTCAGATGACCACAGGCTTGTCTGTTTTTTATTGCAAGGCCAATTTCTGACCATAGGTGACCTCTGCCATATGAATACTCAGAGCTATACTGACTATAGACTAGGGGTGGGAATCTTAAGCCACTTCACGATCTGATCCGATTACGATTCTGGGAGTCACGATCTGATTCCAAAACGATTCTTGATCTACATTTTTTCCTAACAATTCTGCTGTGCAAATACATCTTTACAACTTTATATTTTAACCAGAATTGGAGTTTCTTAGCTTTTTGTTTATAGTTGGAATCTCTGTATGACATTACTGACATCTTAAAAGTAATCAAAGAAATCATTTTTATTTTTATTAACAAAGTTATATTCAGGATGAACAAGCTCTGAATGAAACATGTAAACGCCAGATTACAAAGAACAATTATGAACAGTTCTCATTCCAAAACAGAGTATGACAATGTTTCAGTTGGTTAGTCGTGTTCCCGAAATATTTGAATTTGGTGCCACAAACTTTGCACACAGTATGGCTCTTATCAACGACACCTTTGTCTTCACAAAATCCAAAGTGTTGCCACACAGTCGATTTTAAATTTGATGGCGCAGGTCTTAGTTTGTCCATCGTTGTCCAAATGAAGCGAATTCGGCAGCATACGTACGTGCGTCTGTCAACGCTTATTATTTTTCTGTTTCTTGCTCGTGCCCACGCAGGCCCGCACCGTCGCGATCTAATATGAATGTAGAATCGATTCTGAACTTTTGAGAATCAATTCAGAATCGTTAAAGAAAGAATCGCGATGCATTGATGAATCGATTTTTTTGAAAAAAAGATGCCAAATCTGTTTTGTTATAAATTAATCACATATTGCTCAACTGTGCATAATGTAAACCACTGGGAGACCACAGACAATTGGCATTACATGTATTGCATTAAAAGAAAGTCAGTAAATACAAAGATTTTTAATATAATGTATTCTTCAAACTATAATTTTAGTATTTTTGTGCATTTAATAGTATTTTTGTACATTTATGATGTAGCCATGTGAACTTACTAGAGCATCTCATTCTAGCATTTAATGCTGAGCAGGACTCTAGCCTTGAAGCCTCAGAAGGACTGGACTAGGAAGGATGCATTCTCACTAGGATGCAGCCTTCCATTTGAGAAACACCAAATGTTAAAAGCACAATGTTTCCACCTTTAACTTCTGATGTTTTTATTAACCTTTTCCATTAAGCTATAGTGTTTTGCATTTATACTAAATGCATTTAGACTACTCTTTTTCTTACAAACCTACAAACCATTTTTACCATGGTATTGAGGTTTTAATTGTGGTAATCATGATCTAAATGCATGCTACTATGAGGTTTTTAAATTTTTTACACATGTTACTGTTTGTGATAATGAACATAAATTTACATCTGCATCCTAACTCAAGCTACTTCTACTATCAACTCAAACTACTTTCAAATGTGCATTTCCAAGAGACTCAGCCTCTCGTATTTTGGCACCACCAACAGATGCCGAATGGTGCCGTCAAATACAGAACACTCACAGATATGTATTTAAATGTAAAAGACATGGGGCTTCTCATAGTGTGTGACCCTCTTTATGCTTTGTTTTGTTAATGTTAGAGGCTCCTGGTTGAAGGACCTAATTTATTAATTATAACCCACCAAATTGAGTTATGTTTTACCTCCTGTGGTTGATTTTCACCCACATTTGGCAGGTTGACAGGTTTTCATTTCAAATCCTGATTGTATTCAGAAAGATTGATTGATAAATATGTTTTCATCTGTTATTGGACATTTGCTTGTTCATTTAAACTGTAGCTTTATTTTTTTTTCTCCCTTAATACAACAACAAACAGTAACTTGCTTTACATTATTCCTAAAATATGTTGGCCAGTGCACACACACACTTCCCTTTATATGACTGCCACAACCAGAGCTATTTGCTATCCATGACTAGCCCGGAGCATCTGCATACAACTTTCAGAGAATAGCTTCCTGTATGCCAGGAAGTGTTACAGAAACAAGGGGCAGGGTAAACGAAAGCAAAACAGGGTCATCTTTCATTCAGTAGCAGGGCTTCACAGACTGCAACTAAATGGTCCATTTTACTCAATTTTGTTAGCGGGTCACATTGGTGCCTTTATAAAGTTGGTCAACTGTATGATTAGACTATGTGCTTTCATTTCTTTTGCATATGAAAAAAAAAAGTCAAACACTTAGGGCTGCACGATTAATCGAATGCAATTGTCATGCGCATTTTGTTAGTAAAGCCGGTTCTGTAATCAGCAGGAAATCATCATCACGTGTTTTCAGAAGGAGCAGAATTTACTACACATAGCCGTAGTTCACTGACAAGTTACGCAAAAAAAAATCGCAGAAATCGTTCACGATAATGACAGCTGTTTGCATAGCTTCTCAGTGAACTACGGCTCTGTGAAGTCAATGCTGCTCCATCTGAAAGCATGTGAAAATACCACATCTAATAACATATTTTTACTCCAAACTCACATCATAACGTCAGTCGAGTGTTTGAAATAAATCCTTCTGTGAGATGATGTGGCTTCTTACACAGAATAAGGCACGCAACATATTTCATAGTATTTAAGCAGTGATAAAGGCATTGCATTATAAATATACTTTATTTTAATGAAAATTATGATAATAAGAACTCAGATAAACCATATATTGTCGTAGTAGTGTGTTTATTAGTCACGTTGAATCAATGACAGCAGTTGAATCTTCTGTTTATTCAGCTGCAGCGATTTTCTGGGTTTCTTCTGCGAGGATGTATTTGGAGTTTCAGCGCGAGAGCGCCCTCTGGCCTTTGGATGGAGATTTACTGCTGATCACAGAACCGTGCTTCACTGAAAGACACGCATGACAATCGCAGCTTCTGTCGAATCGCGATCTCGATTCCATTTCGATTTATCGTGCAGCCCAACAAACACTCCAAAAGTGAAATGAAACCGCTATCCATGTGAGCTGTTCAGAGTAGGTGCATTTATTCTAAGAACGATATCGACTACACGGCATAATTTATAAACAGTGCTGTGGGGTGCAGTGAGAAGAGCTTTAAATTCAGCACAGAAAATCTAACACATTTTGACGAATTTTGTCTCTGTGATTGAAGCTAATTTAAAACCAGATGAAACAGCCTCAACAGCAATGAACATAAGAAAACCGGTGAAATCATATTGTCATATACAAACAAGTTTTCAATCCACAAATCACTATCCTTGCAAATATTTACCATGGATTTACTGTAGTAAACTATTTACTGTGTTCACCATGGTATTTTGGCAGGGATGTGGTATACCTATACTGTTATTAATATAATCATATATGTTGTACTAAATATTAGGGGAGTAAGGGAGTATAATTTATTTTTTATTATTACACAGCAGTTTATTTTTCAATAACATTTGTCCTTCATAACAAATTCCAGTTTTATGGAGACCAAATAGAAAACATAATTACATTTCACCATGGTAGTAAGGAGGCATCCAAACGTTTACCTGTAGTTATCATGGTCTACAACCTGTTAAAATTATGAATACTACGGAAGAATTATAATGAAAAAAAATCAATCAATCAAAGGGCAAACCCAAGGTGTCAAATGTGCATTTAAATAAGTTCAAATATGTAATATTGTTGGTATCTTTAATTTGTGTCCTTTAATATTAGTCTCCCCATCCCCACGAGTGCAAATAAAGTGCTGATGCCACGAACTGTAAAACTTGTTGACACCGCTCTCATATGTAAGTCTGCAGCCCTGCAGTAAAGAAAGCCATACATACAAGTAGCTTCATATAAAGATTTAAGAAGAGATGCTTTCATGCAAAACACAAACGTCTGCCTGGACATTAAGATCGACAAAATATGAATACAGCTATTTACAGCCTAAAAAATCCAAAGTGTTCCTCACAATATATGTGATTTTGTTTGTAACATCCTCAAAATACACACAAAAACTACCACACACACAAACACACCAGAAGACAAACAAAAGCTTGAGTTGGCCACTGTGAAGAATGTTTTTAAACAGAGCTTACAACCACTAGACTGTCTGCAAAATGTTTATTTCTTTAATGTGACAGGCTCCATACTTTATCTACCCCCTGCCTGTTATGGCCGCCCCACTTGCTAGAAAGAACAGCAGCCTGCCATAAAACTTCAGTTTCAACACTTGGCTCACTCACTCATCAGTGCATCAGATGAACTTTTGCATGCTGGCCCAGAAACAGCTCCAGCCAAAGCTGCCTAATAAACTGTAATAACTGAGACCCCAGAAGACTCTGAAAGACCCTCTAGCGGTTTATTGAAAAGAAAAAAAAAGTAAGCTGAGGTTCTAATGATTTTCTAAACATGTAAAATTGTTTGTAACTGCCTGGACTATGAAACAAGAGTCTAAAGATTATAATGGAAAGCAGTCTGGCCCATAACATTCTTACCTTGTTTTGTGTGATTCCACTAATCGTCTTCATGTTCTGCCCAGCCAGTACCATGGACTTACATTCCACACAGGAGCCAATTGTTAACTGCTTGCCATTGTCAATTACCAGGGTCTGGCTGACCCTTGGAGCATAGAGGAAAACAGGCAAGCGGTCAACGCACACTGCCTTCAGTCCAAGAGGTCTCCTCTTCTCTTTCCTGCAGAAGAAGCAGATGAAAGTGTTGCAGCTATACTGACGTGCCCAGGGGCTGCTGGACGGGCCTGATTCTGAGCCCAAACAGGGTCATCTTTCACACAGTAGCAGGGCTTCAGACTGCAACCTTTTGTTGCGGCTAAATTTTGTTAGCGGTCACACTGGAGCCTCTATAAAGTTGGTCAACTGTATGATTAGACTATGCGCTTTCATTTATTTTGCATATGAAAAAAAAATTAAATGTTAAACACTCCAAAAAGGAAATGAAACAGCACTATCCATTTGAGTTGTTCAGTACAGAGTATTTACTAGCTCAAAGCAGGTGCATTTATTCTCAAAGCGATCTTAACTATATGGCATAATTTATAAACAGTGAGAAGAGCTTTAATTAAGCACAGAAAATCTAACAAATTTTGACAAATTTTGTCTCGGTGATTGAAACTAATTGCAACCCAGATGAAACAGCCTCAACATTCTCAACAGCAATGAACACAAGAAAACAGGAGAAATCATTGTGTCATGTACACGCAAGTTTTCAATCACTATCCTTGAAAATATTTACCATGGATTTACTGTAGTAAACTGTATTTATCATGGCATTTTGGCAGGAATGTGGTATAACTATAATGTTATTAATATAGTGATGTATATTGTACTAAATATATTAGGGGATTAAGGGAGTATAATTCATTTTTATGATTAAATGGCAGTTTTTCATAACAAATTTCAGTTTTATAGAGACCAAATAGTTAGAAAACTTAGTTACATTACACCATGGTAGTGAGGAGCCATGCAAGGTTTTACCTAGTTATCATGGTCTACAACCTGTTAAAATTATGAATACTACGGAAGAATTATAATGAAAAAAAATCAATCAATCAAAGGGCAAACCCAAGGTGTCAAATGTGCATTTAAATAAGTTCAAATATGTAATATTGTTGGTATCTTTAATTTGTGTCCTTTAATATTAGTCTCCCCATCCCCACGAGTGCAAATAAAGTGCTGACGCCACCAACTGTAAAACTTGTTGGCACCACTCTCACATGTAAGTCTGGAGCCCTGCAGTAAACAAAGCCATACATACAGGTAGCTTCATATAAAGACTTGAGAAGAGATGCTTTTTGTGCTACCTGGACATTAAGATCGACAAAATATGAATACAGCTATTTACAGCCTAAAAAATCCAAAGTGTTCCTCACAATATATGTGATTTTGTTTGTAACATCCTCAAAATACACACAAAAACTACCACACACACAAACACACCAGAAGACAAACAAAAGCTTGAGTTGGCCACTGTGAAGAATGTTTTTAAACAGAGCTTACAACCACTAGACTGTCTGCAAAATGTTTATTTCTTTAATGTGACAGGCTCCATACTTTATCTACCCCCTGCCTGTTATGGCCGCCCCACTTGCTAGAAAGAACAGCAGCCTGCCATAAAACTTCAGTTTCAACACTTGGCTCACTCACTCATCAGTGCATCAGATGAACTTTTGCATGCTGGCCCAGAAACAGCTCCAGCCAAAGCTGCCTAATAAACTGTACTAACTGAGGCCCCAGAAGACACTGAAAGACCCTCTAGTGGTTGATAGATAAAAAGTAAGCTGAGGTTATAATGATTTTCCAAACATGTACAATTGTTTGTAACTGACTGGAAACGAAACAAGAGTCTAAAGATTACAATGGAAAGCAGTCTGGCCCATAACTTTCTTACCTTGTTTTGTGTGATTCCACTAATCGTCTTCATGTTCTGCCCAGCCAGTACCATGGACTTACATTCCACACAGGAGCCAATTGTTAACTGCTTGCCATTGTCAATTACCAGGGTCTGGCTGACCCTTGGAGCATAGAGGAAAACAGGCAAGCGGTCAACGCACACTGCTTTCAGTCCAAGAGGTCTCCTCTTCTCTTTCCTGCAGAAGAAGCAGATGAAAGTGTTGCAGCTATACTGACGTGCCCAGGGGCTGCTGGACGGGCCTGATTCTGAGCCCCGACTCTCATGTTGGGTCCACTGGCCCAGCAGGTCATGGTAGCACAGTGCACAAGCAGACACAAGGCCAGTGGCATCAGCAGGGCAGGCACGGGGAGCGGGAGGGTGGACAGTTAGAAAGGGAAAAAAGGGTTCTCGCTCCCCACAACGCCCTGGAGGGTTAACATTAAGCTGATACTCGGATCCTCCAGACAGCTCCTCCCCACACAAGTAACAGATGGAGGTGTGGCTTGCGGTTGTTGTGGCAGTCTGAGAAGGGGTCGACAGGGGTCCCTTGAGGGGGGATACCAAGACTCCTCCCATTCCCATGGCCAGGTGGTATCTCTCAAGGAACGTGGTGATGGAAGTAATGAGCTCCTCGCTTAGACAGAGGCAGTACTCTGCCCAGATCCCTTCCAAGATGCTGTGACATGCGACACAGCAGTATACCCTTCCATTCCGCATACTCTGTGCATTTGGAGGGCATGGTAGCAGATTTATGAATGGAAAATACATTGCACTGCGGGCTTTACTTGCACCAGCATGGGTGTATGCCATCCTGACCTCTCGACCGCAGTCCTGTCCACATAGGTAGCAGGCCTCCCTGCGATTCTGTGGCATGGAGGGGAGTGAATGGATTTTTGGTAGTCCATCCCCACATTCATTCATGGCAGATGGAGAAAGAGGGGTTGCAGCACCCGTGCTGAGGGGCACCACATAGAGTCGCTGGAGAACAGGAACATCTGCAAGCTCGAACCCTTGCCACTGCTGCATGAGGGAGGAGTGGCAAGTTGTGCATACCAGAGTGTATCCACCCAGGCTAAGAGGCACCGCACCAGGTGGAGGGCTATGGAGCCACAGAAAAGGGAAAAATGGTTCACTGGCTCTCTCCTGCTTTTGTACAAACACCCTGAAGCGGCCTCCTGCTGAAAGCCTGCTTCCACAAATATAACAGGCACATTCATCAGCAGAAAAACTGGAGTGACATTTGGCTGCTTGACTCCTCTCTACATCTAAGTGAGCTGATGCTGCGCGCTCTCTCTCGTCATCGCTGGTGATGTTGATATCGCTGCTGTCAGGCCCGTCCGAATCACCGGTGGACGCATGTATCCACTGCTTGTCACGCGTAATGATGCCGTTATCCTGCAGAGGTGCGCGAATAGATAGACTGTCATAATGCTGGAGAGTCATGGACACGGATGACTGCGATGTGTGATTGATGATCTTAGTCGCACGCCGTTCTGATGTCGGTACGTCCTGACCTGTGTAAACTCTGGTCGGATATCTCACTGACTCAGGACTGCTCTTAACACTCGTTGTGATCTTTCTACTGCCTTCTCTTGATGCTTTATTAGACGCACGGAAACCTGTGGCATTATGGCTATTCATTACACATGCTGACAAGTCAAAGTCCTGCTCAGACAGGTCATTATCAGAGAATGAGGAAATGTCCGACTCATTGGCGTCGTAATTGCTAACGCTCATTCTTCGCTCCAGATCGTATGTAATGTTCCGTAAGTCGCACTGGTAGGGTCTCTTGAGCCAGTACATGCGCTTCTCGATTGGCGTCCTGTTGCGCTCGAATGAGTTCCACTGTTCGCGCAGGAAGCAGTGGCACACAGCGCACACCAGAGCGTCCCCATCCGGACCGATCTCCGGCGCGCCAGGAGCCGGGTCCTGGCCTTGCAGGAAAGGGAAAAACGGGCCATTCTTTTCTCGTTGGTATTTTACCTGTAAGCTCAGCTCTTTCCCCGGGGTTACCCCGCTCCCACAAATGAAGCAGTGGATGAAGAAGATCCCGTTGCGCTCGGGTCTGCACACGCTGCCGGACAGAGCGCTCTCTTCCCCGGGAAAAGCCGAAGCCATTCGCTGTTGCGCCTTGGAGATCGGCGTGAGCTCCGGATCGTTCATAGTTCCATACGTAATAGCTTCAGAATCACAAACAGCGTGATTTCAAACCCAGTAACATTTTTTGTGCTTTTTCTCACAAATGTAGCGCCATCGATTCCGCGGAAAAACTCCACAAACTTACTCGCTCCGGCGATTTTAGATTGGTGTCTGAGTAACAATCTAGAAAAGCACACTGAGCAGCCGATTGGAGTCACATCCTCATAGGCGGCGGTGTAATCCGTGTGCTGTTAGAGAGTAGAAAGTCTTATTGAAGTTGCTTGGCGAAGTTTCCTCACACTGTGGCTGTGAGACCACTGAACACAGCGCCATCTCTCTCTCTCTCGCTCTCTCTCTCGCTCTCTCTCTCACTCTCTCACTCACTCACTCAGTCACACACGTACATTTCACTATTAGTCAGGACATCTCATAGACTTCCATTATTTGTTGTCAGGTTTAGGATATTTTATATTGCCTAACCCAACCACTACTCCTAAACATAATCCTCACAGAAACATGTGGAAAACACTAGATTTAAATAGCAATGTCCTTTTAAGGTCAGTCTCACTAGATGGTGTTCAGGTTTCAATATTAGTGAGGACATTTTTGGACCTCACAAGTATAGTCAAACCTGCACACACCCACAATACACAGACATAGATGTTTGCTTGCCAGTATTAGACATCTTATAGACTTCCATTGTTTTTATATTATATGTCTATTTCCTCTCACCCTTACTCCCACCACAGAAATATGTGCAAAACTCTAGATATATAAACATGATTTGGCCAATTTTTTGGCTGGCGAGCTCTGACTCATTAGTTGGTGTACAACAGGTTTCACTATTTTAGTGAGGTTATTTTTGATTAGTAAGGACATTTTGGACCTCATAAATAGTCAAGCCTGTACACAAACACAGACGTCACATATCACTAAATGCATGTTATAATGTGGCTGTGAGACCACTGAACACAGCGCCATCTCTCTCTCTCTCGCTCTCTCTCTCACTCACTCACTCACTCACTCAGTCACACACGTACATTTCACTATTAGTCAGGACATCTCATAGACTTCCATTATTTGTTGT